TAATCCTTTTGGAAAGCACATGCAATGCTCATCTTTAAAATACAGCTTATGCTTTCATAAGTCTAGATAGAAAATTCTCTGGGTAAGCAAATACAAACATAAGAAAAAAGTACAAGAAGAAATTTTGCATGTGAAACTGATATTAGAAATTAAAGGTAAGAAGTTTTCTTAAACCTAGAAAAAAATCCAACGAGTAATGAATTCCATGGTAAATGTTTCCCCAGTAATGCAGGGCTTCCATGGGCGCTGTCTTTTGCTTTTTCATTTTGACCATTTGATTCATGGTCTTATTATCTCTTCAGAATCAGTCTTTGTCACAGATTCTGGAGTAATTATTATAAAGGTGAAGCTGAAAACTAAAGGTGCACAAAGCCTAAATTTGTGCTCAGCAAGAGTGTGAAGGTCGTCTTTCTAACAGGAAGCTGCTGAGGTCAGACATTGGGTCTTCTTTCTTGTTCACCAGCCTCAGCACTGCACACCGTCCAGCGTGTACACATGCTTCAGTTTATTTTAATGAATGGGTTTATATCTGAATACTTTTTGTTATAAGAATATAAGCTTATACTGAATACAAGTTAAAATGACATTATTTCTTCTTACAAAACACTATTGCAAAAATACTGCATTTTATCTTCATAATAACCCAAGGTTTCATGAAAGAATATAATATCATTTTAAAGATAAGGAAAGCATACATCAGTGAGTTAATATCATATAAGAATGACTGTGGTTTCGACATGGTTTCCTAATTTCTAATTCCTTGCTTATTTTAATATATTAATGATTAAAGAACTTTAGGACGTTGTTTTATTGCACTTTCAAAATAAGAAGATAATATTCTTTGTTATTTCCTTCCCAAAAATTAATTTTTAAGAATTATGAATATTATATTTAGTTCTCTGGAAAAACCAAATATTCATTAATGAGTATGAAAGAAAATAATTGAATTATTAAAATTATAAAACATAACAAAGCACCCCTGAATTGTGGTGTCTTGAATAAGAATGTCCCCCATATCCTCCAACTCTTTGAATACTTGGCCCCAGTTGGTGGCACTGTGTGTGGAAGATTAGGAGGTATAGCCTTGCTGGGTGAAGCACTCCATTGGGGGTGGTCTTTGACAGTTCTTAAGCCTTGCCCCGTTTCCCGTTTCTCTCTCTGCTTCCTGTGCCTACTTGAAGATGTGAATGCTCAGCCTTCTGCTCTGGCTGCCTCCTGGCTTGCCTTCCCTTCCACGATGGACTCTTATCCCTCCGAACCATAAGCGAAATAACGTCTTCTTTCCAACTTGCCTTGGTCATGGTGTCTTATCACAGCAATAGAAAAGTAACTAATACATGAATCCTCATGAAATATGCACACACACACATACTCACACATTCACATATACACACACAGATACATAAGACATACACAGACACACAGATATACACACAGATATACACACATATACTCCTACATACACACATATTTATACATAGACACAAACATATACCCACATATACCCATACATACACACATATTTATACATAGACACACACATATACACATGTGCAAATGGAGCTATACATATATAGACACACAGACATAAACACAGTCACACATCCACATAAATACACTTAGACACACACATAAACATACAATCACACACATACATACACACATCTACACACATATGTGACATATGAAGACACAGAGATATACATATATACACATGCGCATGTAGACATGTTCACATATACACATATAGACATACACATGCACACGCAGACATGCACACACTTCAATAAACACACACACGTGCACACATTCACGCACACATACAGTGAATACTTTGTGAACACTAGCATATTCTTTCCATAGGTATAATGCAATATTCAGCTCAACACAAATTTCTCTATGCACAAATATTAACTTTAAGTAAGCTGTAAACTTAAATATAAGCTCTAACACCATACAAATCTTAGAAAAATATAGCAGTGATTTTTTATGGCTTTTGGCAAAAATTTGATTATGACAAAACGTATAGGTGACAAAAGTAAGAAGAGATAAATCAGACATTATCAAACCAAAACCTTTATCTTTCAAGGAACATGTTCAGAATGAGTCATAGAATAGAAGAAAATTCATATCATACATCTCATGAATGACTTATCTAAAATGCATAAGGAATTCTTCCACCTCAGGAGTGACAAATAATCCCATTCTAACATGGATGCTGGGATTGAATAGTTATGTCTATAAAGACTTGTAAATGGACAAAAAATACACAAAGATGCTCAGTGACATTAGCCATCAGAGAAATGCAAATCAAAACCCTAGTGATACATCACTTTGTATCTACTGGGATGACAGAAGGAACATGCACACACACACATACACACACATATACATGCACAAATACACAAGACATACACAGATAGACACACAGACATACACACATACACACCTATACCACATGTAAACACAGAGATACACACGTAGACACACAGAATGAGTATATATGCATATACACACAAATACACATAGCCATGCACATAAACACACAATAAATACACAAAGATGCTCAGTGACATTCAAATACTGACAAGCATTGCTGAGGACGAAGTGCCGTTTCAATGTTCATGTACTAGTGTTGGAAATCAAGTAAGTGCTTTGGAAAACAACCTGGCAATTTCTTAAAAGAGTATTCACAAAACTGAGTGATGTCACCAAACGCTTCAGCTCCTAGATGTGTGTTCAAGTGGATAAAAACATGTGTCTTTCTAACAACTTTTAGATGATGTATATATAGCACTATTATTCATATTAGACAAATATGTGGAGAAAAAGCAACTGTCTACTAGCTGATGAATAGGTAAATATATTTTGTACAATGGAACAGAATAAAAGGAATGAGATTCTGATAACAAAAAAAGCTACAACTAGTCCCAAACAGGTCATAAGAAGTATTGTATATGTATGTCAACATTGGAATCAGTCATGCTAATGTAGATTCTACAGAAGGAGGTAAGAGAATTCATGACCGTCGATGGTACTCAGTGAACTCGCCTAGTTTTTTTTCTTCCACTTGTCATATGGTTTATACAGCAGTGTTGCTATTCACACCCATCTCCATTTCTCCATTTTTCAGTGGTTAATTTTTCCTATGTCCAGTTCTGAGATTTAGCTTCTTGGAAAGTCTTTCTCTTCTTTTGTCTGCATTCAGGTGGTTTTTTGGGTCTCTGGAAGTTTCTTCAGAAGTCCATGTCTCTCCTGCATGTTCTGGAACACATCCACAGGAGACAGAGGAAATCAGGAATCTCTATGAGAGAAATATTATGGCTTTCCCAGGATGGTGAGGATTAGTGAATTCATTACAGTAGCTATTACTGACTTTTTTTTCAAGACCCAGAATACAGAAAACACACAAAGATATTGCAAAGCTCAAATCTGATAAATTTCTTAGGCTACGATTGGTTCTTTCTAAATTTTCATCTTAAAGGGAACCAAGTTGATAGCTTTTTATTTAGAAACTTGCATTCAGAATACAATGCATACAATCAATGTATGAGATGTTTTCCCTATATTGTTTCTCAACAAATATCTAGTAATCAGAAGTTTTTGAAATAAATTAAAATGTAAAAAATAGATTGTGTAGGTGGGTCAAAATAGAAGGTGCTGATAGGTCGGGATTGTTGTTAAGTTTTCTAAAATTCATTTTGGATAAAGAACAAAATAAACATTGCAAAAATGGAAACAAAAACATTTTGAGATAATCAGATCTCTGTAACAATAAATAATGAAAAGAACAGAAAGCAGACTCAACTATTAGAAAAAATATATAGATAGCAAATTAAATGGCTTTGCGTGCTACAGAAAATACAGTGTAGCACTTCCCTAGAACATGACTGCGTTCTTTTTATTTTCTGTTGTTTTATGCCGTTATACAGTGAGAAATAAGCAGCTAACACACCTAAGATTGCTCACCTCCTCTAGTCATCGCTGTGAGTGAAACATCTCAATTATGTGCTGGCTTGAGCGGCACATGTGCTAAAACTGGAATGATGCTGAGAAGATTAGCATGGCCTCTGAGCAAGGACAATGTGTAAATTCATGAAGTTCCATATTTTTCTCTCAATAAGTATGGATGACTATACTGGGTTTGCACAAGAATGGGCCCATCAACGGGCAGACAAGGATGGGGAGGGACTCAGGTGCCCCTAGTCCTCACTGCTGAGCTATTTTCTATGGATAGATTCGGGGAAGGGAGTCAGTGCCATCAGTCCTGTACCCGCCATTGACTCCATCAAGTCCTAATCCTATGGTCACACAGATAGCCCTGGTTAAACCAAATGGCTCATGCAACAAACAAAAAGTTATAAATCTAAGAAAGGAACAGATGGAGAGGAGGGGGGCTGATGAGGGTGGGAGGAAGGTAAAACAGGGCTGTAGGGAGAGTGTAACCAGAGTACGTGTGTGAAACTGTCACATACTAACAATAAAGACAGAAATAAAAAATCTCAACTATAATCATATTGATTTAGTTTGACAAATTAACTCTTTTTTTAAAAAAATTTTGAAACATGGTCTTATTACGTAGTTTAGGCTGGCCTCATATTCACGATCTTCTAGATACTTCTAATTCCCAAGTGCTAGGATTGCAGTTGTCTGACACCTCTACTGTTTCTTGCAATGAATTCCTTTTCAAGAGTAACCATTTTTATCTTCTCTGTTGACACTAGCAAAACTTTGGTGTTGCTTGGGTTTTAAAGATTTTGAAGTATTACTTCAGGCAGTAAATAACACAAAATTGATAATCATTAAACATAACATAAATTGAAATAAATACAAAGCTACGTGTGTCTTTGGCACCTTATCTAATCCAACTCACATAAGAGGCTGGGGTTTTCATCAGCTGGACTAGGAAATTGCCAAGATTTGGTCTTTGCATGATATCATTTCTTAACTGAACTCTAAAATAGAAAACTACACAGTAGTCCAACTATTGTCAAGCCCTCAGGCCACTGATTAATGCAATCAATAGAGCACCAGACCATTACATCTGATTAAACACTCCCAGGTTTTATTGGCAATTTAGGAATTTTGGCCTGATGCTGAGGAGGGAATCTTAAAGCAGTAAATCTCCTGTCTTTGTTTCTAAGGAAGGATAAACTGCACTTGGTATTCAGTACAGACATGGAGAAGATGAGATGATCTGAGAGGAAGGGACTGCCTACAAGCACACACAGTTTAACTGTTGAGTCAAGGGTTCTTTCCAGGGAACTCCTTTGATTACCTGTCAGATGAAAATTTAGGAATAACCAACTTACGTGATACAAGATGTACTTACTTAGAGCTTTGTAATTTCTTTGTTTTCTGAATTCTCAGTCTTACAGAAAGAAAAGTTGTCTTCTTTCTGTGTGTGTATAGAGTATGTGTATGTATGTATCTGTGTGTGTGTGTATGTGTGTGTGTGTGTGTGTGTGTGTGTGTATACACATAGGTAGGCCAAGGATGATATTGGGTGTCTTTCTCAATCACTCTCCATCTTGTTTTTTGAGAGGTTTCCAATTGAACCTGGAGCTCACTGATTTGGCTGGGCTTGCTGGTCAGTGAGCTCCAAGGATCTACCTGTCTCTGCCTCCCCAGGAGTTTAACTACAAATACATGCTACATTTTAATGTGCATGTTGGAGATCTGAATTTGGGCCTTCAGCCTTGTACAGTAGGCACTTTACCAACTGAGCCCTCTCCCCAGCTTGAGAAGTTGGTTTTGAATGCATTATTTAACTTGCCGAAAATATTAAAAATTATAATGCACATTTTTTTTTACCGTGCACATAATTTAATCATTGTCTACTTTGATCTGAAAACCCTGAGCCCTGTCGTGAATCTGATAAGAACTGTTGGCCACCTGACTTGAATGTTGTTGTTGAAATTAAATGGTTGAAGCGGCTGTGAGTTCATAATAACCTTACGCATGTGAAAAATTGAGTTAGTTCATCCTGTGCCATCAGTAATTCCAAAGAACTCATCCTCTAGCTGCCTGTTTGGAAAGTGAGTTCTTGTGCATGTTTGCGTGGATGTGAATATTCAGGCATTTACAGTGACTTACGTGAGGTATGCTGTATGTTATATGAAATGATTTCCATTTTGTTTCAAAATCATGTGCTGCAGTTCTTTTCTCTTGAAAAGCCCAGGGAAATTTTGGAATTAGCACAAAATATATCCTGACTAACAAAACTCATACACGGTGTGTCATTTCATCATAAAGTTGGGGAGTCAATGGTTTCAAATGCAAGCTTAGTTCTTAAGAAAGAAGCTTTGCCTGGTTTTGACATTGACACAACTCAGGCCAAGTAACATGCCCTTGTTCAGGCCTTTGCTCTACTTAAATTAGCCACACAGGCTACTGTCTTCTTCCAGATTCTCCTATAATTAAATAATGACCAGCTACCATTGAAACTTATGTTCTCAACATTTAGCAAATTACACTCTGCTGGTGATCCAGAGTATGGAGAAAGAATTCATCACAGATATAGCTGGTAGAACCATTCTTAAAGCAACACACTGCTGGCAGGCCCATACCTATACACTGTTATGGTTTCCCTGCTTGCTGTTGTATTAGGATAACAAAGTAAATGATGTAGCAACTGCAGATTGTGTTTATAATAAGGCATTGTGGTGCTTGTGACATTAGCCAAAGGTGGAGAGTTAATAACTAGATCATTGCTTTTATGAGCATCTCCTGGGTGTGGAATACCCAGCGGAGAGGGATATCAGAGCTCTCATTACTCATTTTAATCACTGTTATTGCCAAGTAATAGAAACTGGGTCATTTTCTCACTGCACTTTGTGGGAAACTTTTCTTGATCCCATGGCCAGAGTAAAAGTCATCCTAACTGCAAAGAATTGGCAAGCCACAGATATTTGGAAATTTAACATCTTCACCTCTTCTCCCTCTTCCTTCTATCTCAATTAGTTTCTTGCTGAATTTTGTGTTTCTTTAACTTCCACTTCTTTGGAGTCCTGTTTCATTGCTCTAGGCCAGAAACTTTGTCTTTTATCTGGTGCAACGGTCTCATGAAGATTCTCTATAAGCTCACTTTTCATTTTGTGTAATTTACCAAGGACATTACTGTAAGGATTAACTTCTTATTTCCAACCAGGTTTGATTTGATTCAATTCAGCAGTTAGAGAGAATATATATTCCAGTGGCTGTATGTGTGCAGAACATGGGAGTCAAAGATAAACAAAAAATAAATAATTTCACTCAGGGTATTAATAAACTTATAAGAAAACAACCAAAAAGCAAAATGATGAAGAATTTAACAAAGCTATGCCTAACGTTCTGTTGTTTGTTTTTAATTAAGAATTGTTTATGAGTCTTTACTTTGTATATAATATTAAAAATAAATATTTTAACAAAATATAAAATCATTTTATTCATAATTCATGTATTTAATTTGCCCATCTGTAAAGCTATTAGCAGGATACTATTGAGGACACTGTTTAATATAAAAGGTTTTAAGGAATCCATAAAAGAAAGGAAGACTGGTTTTGCCAAATACCTTGCCGGATATAGTCCACACAAGAAAGAGTACCATGAAAAAGGGCAGGGATGTGAGAAAAACCTGGGAGTCTTCTTGTCAATGTAACAGATAGTCATTAGGAATCTCCTGCAATCTAAAATACATGTGCTGTGGGGAGTTTGAAAAAGCTGAGCATAACAACATAAGAAACATAAAAATAACATAATAAACATAAATAATAACATAATATGCCATGTTAGAGTTTAGGATCTATATCTGTCTCTCTCATTATGGAAAAGAATTAGATCGAATTTATGAGGACACAGCTCAGACTTTTGGTTTCAAAAAATCTGGTTTTCAAGATGTGTTGGTATTGGAAAACCTAGTAAAGCTGTACAGACAGTAAGAATTGATGGTATAAATGATGATGGTGATGATGATCTGTAAACACAGCCTATGCTGAGGGGATGGTATATTTATAATTGTGGAAATAGAATTAGGAGAGTCAAGAATAGATGCTGTGGTTGATGGATAACTTATTATTGAAAATGATTTTTTCTGTATGAAACTGTGTATTTTAATAGCAAAATGGAGATCTTTTTTAAAGTTTAAAACCTCATTTAATTTTATGTCTTGTAAGGTTTATACTGAGTACTGTGGGGACCTAAAAGCCCCACTTTGCATAGGTCCTAAAGAAAGTTACTGGGGGCACGGCCTGGCTTGCTTTGAAAGTCTGAATACTTCTGCACTGCTGAGGAGTGCACGATCAGCCGGTGACCATCCTTAAGATGCACCCTCAGGGGGGAGAGGGGAGTTCCAGGTGCCTTTGTAAGCTTTGGAACACTTGCAATAAATGAGTCCCAGCTTGACTAGGCTCCCCATTGCGTCTGAGTGTCCCCGGGTAATGGGGGTGGCATGGGCTGGGGAACGGCGTGCTTACTCATCCCCAATCCTCACCTCGCCGGGGGTTGCAGGTTCGAGTCCCCAGCAGAGTACAATATTGTATAACTGTATTAATTCAACTGTAAACCTAAAAATTTACAGCCAATTTTGAAGGAGATACATCTTAGCTCTGGAAATTGTTATTGAATATGTCAATGCTGTTGTAATGAAATGCTTCTTCTGATTGTGTGGTTATTAAATAAATAATTTTAAAAAAGAATAGATCCTGTGGTTGATGGATAACTTATTGTTTAAACCAAACTCCCAGTTTTGTAGCTTGATTAAATGGGATGTTTCCAGCTATTGAGAAGACACAAGATTTAGTAAAATGTTTTTATTCATTTGATTGTATAAGACACGCTTATTACAACAGATGAAATGGAGGATACTATTTAAGGCAGCAGGGGATGTAAAGGTGAAATAAGAGATGTGGAATTGTAGTGTATCTGTGAACAGCTTCTTTATTGCAGGCTGGATTTATCTGCTTGAATCACAGGTAGCTAAAGGAATGGAAAGGGGAGAAGCAACTCCACAAAGATGTAGACGATGAATGAAGGTACCTACAGCCCTTACCAGAAAAAGCAGAGGGAAGATTAGGATGAACTGATAGGAAACAGAAATTCTTCATAGAAATATGATTGCAAGTGGTAAGTTCACTAT